GGAACAGAGCCATTTCACTTTACAAGGGAGAGGTCACCTTCCTTCCCAAAGTCACCCCACCTCTCTAGATTGAATAGATTTTAAACAGAAAGATGGTTTTCCTGGCCAGTGGCTGAGAGGAAGGGGGTGCCCCATAAAGACCTGGTTTCCTTCCTAAACGGTGTCCAAACAGGATTCTGAGCTTCCTCTTTTAGCCACAGTCTCACTTAATAAATTGTGGGTGTTAAAGTTGAAAGAAATAAATACAGAAACAGCATGACAATTTGCCAAGCTGACTTTCGTCCAATTTAGCTTTGCTTCAACTCACAGGCATTGTACCGTTATCTTAAAATTTCCATGATTTCTTAAGGGTTAGAGAAGGTCAACAGAAGAACAAGAGGTATCAGTATAAAAAGGAACATTTTATAGTAAAAGAAGTTGCTGGGGTTTTGTTTCTGTTTTTGTTTTTCTTTGATTTGGTAAATCATAGTTTCCGCTTTCTCAATGTCCTAGTATTGTGTCAGCAAAACAAAAATCCACCAAGGGACATTAAAGCAGTTATTAAAAACAGAAATATAATCAAGGCCCTCCATGTTTGGCACTATAATAATATCTTAAAATACATAAATAATAACTTTAAAAATTTGTAAAAAGTATAAAAAATGACAAAAAAATTAAAGGCCCTTTGAACTTCCATGAATACCCTAGTACCTCCCTCCAGATGGAAACTAGACAGAAATTTGGCATGTATCTTTCCTAAATTCTTATTGAGAATTTATGTTCACAAATATACCCTAGAAAAAAATGTATTTTAAATTTTTTGCCTAAGTGTCAAACTGTAAATATTTTGTAACTTCATTTTGTATCTATCAAAATAATTTCATAATTTGTCTGTATGAGTATATAGATCTGCCTCATTTCTTTAAAGTGACATATAATATTCAAAATATAAATAAACTACAATTTAATAATTCTCCTACTGATAAATATTTGGTCAGTCCACTTTGTCAGGCTGTTTGCTATAAGGAATATCTTTTGGGAAAAGGTAAAGAGTAAGGAAAAGAAGACATACACTACTTTGTGGCATATATTTGGGTTAAGAACAGATCAGTGCATTTGAATATTTAGTATTACAATTAAACATTGGAATGGTAACTAAAGAGACAAATTTTTTTAATATTTTCATTATCCACAGTCTGTATATAATTGAACTTCCAACACAAGAATACAAGTAAAAAGCTCTGTAACAACCCAACTTGCCAAATTCCTATAAGTGAGCGTTTATATTATAGGAAATGAAAGCAAAACATATTTTTCCTGTCAAGAACTGTATTATTTATACTTAGAACTCAAAAAAATTATTTCTAGCAGTTTATAATTTTAAAATCTCTATTAAGTAGGACAAGTAAAGCACAGCTAAAAGAAAATTCAGAGCAGAGAATCTACATACGCTTTCATCTTCAGGTATGAGATAGTCACTTCAATTGAGAACTAAGTTTAATTGTGAGATCTCTGCCAGCCAAGGCAAAAAGAAATGGCAGTTTTCAATGTATGACAACAGGAAGTCTCTAAGTTCATCTGGAGAGTCTTCATGGGCTGACATCTAAAAGAATTTCATTTCACTCAAATATAAGGGTCACTGGATAAAATAATAGATGCTATCTTTAAATTCAGTATTACCAGAAAACTCTTCAAATTGACTTGTCGCACATCTCTGCACACCTGCCTCTTCATAGGTGAAGAGCACAGATGTTAGGCAATAATTTTAGGATAGCATCTCTGCGGGACGGTAACATAGATTTAACCTAATCAGGAAAACAACTTCCACAAAAATGGGTCTTCGCATGTCCCTTTACATTGTTTTCAGAAATAATTGATCTATCAGCAAGTTTCATTAAAAGCATGCTAACAGTTAATTCCTAGTTAAATTAGCCAGTAAATGAAAGAGGACAGGAAGTCTGTTTCTAAGTAATAAATCAGAATTTTGGATCCAGAGGACAAAGTTACAGAGAAGAGAGTCTGCTTTAGATTTTCATCTGACCTGAAATCATCTTTAAACTATTCATGCTTTCCTTCAATTTTAAATCTGCTTAAACAAGCCTTAAGTAAATAAAAAAACTTCTTTTAAGTTGGGTGATACAACTAATTTTTGAGTCAAACAGATACTATATTTATTGTATTAGAAAACTAAACTATTTTTAATCAGGGATTGGTATGTGAAACAGAAAAAAATCTTTTTCTTACCCGAAACTCTTTTTAAAGAATTATTATTATTTATTATTATTATGATGATGATGATGATGTTTTACTATAAAGTTCTTTGATATGATAAGTTATCAATTGATTCAATAGCAAAGTTAATCAGAATCAATATGAAGAAATAAAACCACCAGTTGGTTTGGGAAATGAAAGATACACATGTAAGATCAAATCCTAAACTAAAGAGCCCTATCGATTGCTTTGGTTTGACTGTCACAAAA